GAACTGATCTGGCTTATGATTTGCCAGATATGGATGGAATATGTGGAAGCCTTCAGAAAAGCCACAATAATCTATGTAAATCTTTGCATCAAAGGAAAGTCAAATCTACATTAAGCATTGATTCATGATGCCACTCAATGGGATCCTAATTTAATTCTCAGAGACATTCGATTGAAACGGCATTCAATAAAAAAAAATTCTCTGCAAAACAGTGAGCATCAAGACTTTTTGCAGACCTTAATTTTGAAGCTTTAATCACTCAAATTTAGATTTTTTTTATCGTGAACGAGGTAACGATGGCATTCAGTCTAACGGTGAACACTACGAGTAACAAAACGGTGTTATCGAACTACTTGAAGCTCGTTCAAGGCGACAAGGTGCAGGTAATGTACGTGTGGATCGATGGAACGAACGAGAGCCTTCGTTGTAAGACGCGGACGCTCGACGAAGAGCCAAAAGGCGTGAAAGGTAAGCTTCGGTCACCATTCGTGCCACTCCTGTGTAGTTACGAGTTTTATATGTTGAGTTGCATCCTTTATCACTGTTGACTGTTGTTATACGGCGAAATAAATTATGCTGTTGTGGGAGTGAACGCCCTCTGATCCCAGGATAGCACCGGAAAAAGTTAAGAGCTAGCGTAGAAATTCTATTCGCGACAGTAGTGTACGGATAGAAGAGTGACTGAATGGACTTAATGGCGGACAGTGAGCGAATCGACGAGGATGAATCCTGCGATGCGGAACGTCATTGGAGTGAATCAGTGACGATGCCAAGCCGTTTGACAAGAACAGAATGACAAAACGTGTTAATGAATCGATTTTGCGCTGCATTTCAGTAAAAATTTTGCAAAGTTTACTAATATTTCTGGCAGCATTTAATCCGTTTGTAGAGGTAATTAACTAAGTGTAATACTCAATTTAGATATTCCTGTTTGGAACTATGATGGCTCAAGCACATTTCAAGCAGAAGGTTCAAATTCGGACATGTACCTTTATCCAGTGGCGATGTATAAGGACCCGTTTCGTGGTGGAAAAAACAAACTCGTGCTCTGTGAGACGTACAAATACAACAAACAGCCTTCAAGTAAGATTTTTCGAAATTGTTTGCAAGAATATTTTATCAGTTCGTAAATGATGATGGGTAGTGGTATAATCGTGATCACTGCAAACTTTCTGATATGGTTCCATTGGGCTCTCTGTTTACTGTTATGTCATTGACTTGGTGCAGTTCAATTGAAGGCGGACATTTAGTGATCCGTTACTACAATTCATTCAAATATAGATCAAGCAGTTACGGAAAGTCTGTTCATCGATTATCGAAGGATGCATGATAGCGTTTCTGAAGCATTCAAAACCTGCTGCAGAAAGCCTCAACTTTGATTCGATCCGTTGAGGAGCTGGGAATTCATAACATTAACATAGACGACATCAGCCTTTGCTATGCCAAATTTTAAGATACGATTGCGATTCTACCCATCATTCAAAATGCTTTTTTAATGAAAGTATCATCACTACGGCAACCTATGCTCAATCAGCCAATCACCCGCTGGCGGACGTCGATATGTGATAAAAAAATATCGATATTTTTCATCATCTGTCCATTTCTTATGGGTGTTATCTAAATGAG